TTTGTAATTTTTTTTTTTTTTTTTTCGTTTTTAATAATCATTATGAAGATTCATTAAATCTAAACAAATTCATTTCATTATGAAGTTTCATTAAAAATTATTTCACAATATAAATCATTTAAAGTATACATAGTTACTTATTATATATAAGATATTATGAAATTTAGTATATTACCTACTTGCTATCTATTATTAAACGATTTTGATTTTTATTTCATTTCTAAAAATTGATTATTCTTTTATTTTTTCAGCACATGATTTTTATTTTCAAATATAATCGAATTACAAATGCAATATGAATTCTTTATATTTTTATATAAATTTTTTACGAGAATTAACAAAAATATTAATGAAACATAATTTTAATTACATACTTTTGTATATATTTGTACAGTTTGCATTTTTTAAATTAAAAACATTAATCGATACAGAATTTAACTGGAATATATTATCTGATTTTGCTTTAAAAAATTTAATAAGACGATTTTATAATGAAAAAAATTATTATGTAGATCGTAATTCTTGCTTATTAGCAAACATACAATATTTTAAAGTTTCTACACCTACTTGGTTTTATATATGTTCAAAATTTTCTTTAAAAAAATATAAAGTATTAATTATACCCAAAATACAAAAAGACAATATTGATACAAATAATATATTTGTATCAGAAACTATGAAATATAATATAGAAAATGCATTACACTGCACTGTTGATAAATGTTTCTTATGTAAGTATATATTAAAATATTATAATTAACATTTTAATAAATCTCAAGTTTTTTTAATTCCTTTCAGTGCCAGCAAAAGATAATGCTATTAAGTTTGCTACAGTAGTTAAAGTTTCTATGATATCTAATCCATATGAAAGTACAGATAATTTAATACGTGTTTTATTAGAAAATTATTTTTCTGAACCTAGATTTCTAAAAAAAAATGACTTATTTGGAATTAATGTAAAAGAATATATGTTGGATCAAATGTATTTATATATTAATCCTTTAATGTCTATAATATATTTTAAAGTTAATACCATTATTATTAATGATAAAGATTGTACAGTTAATGATACTTCTTATATTTTATTTGGAGAAACTACAGTTATTCAAGAACCAAATATACATACTTATTTACCTCAAAAACATTTTGATTATAATCAAATCGAAGAGAAACACATAGAATTATATCCACCAAGTTTAGCTACACTTTTGGAACATTTAGAACATTGTATTTTGCCATTTATTAAACATGGTAAAAGTTAATTAAATATCTAAATGAATCTAAATAATATAAATTAGATATATAATTTAATGTTTTTAATAGATATTCAATTATCCATAAACCCAATATTTCTTATTAAGGGTTCACAAGGTTCAAATAAACGTAAATTAATTCAAATTTTGGCTGAAAAAATGGGTTTGAATTTTCTTAATATAGATTTTGCTGAAGTTCAAGCTTTGACATCAGCCCAAACAGAAGCTAAATTACGCATTGTATTACATAATGCTGAACAATCTATGCCATGTATGCTCTGTTTAAATAATATAGAGGTATTTTAAAAATATTTTTGCTAAGATATTTGCAAATTTTCTAAACTAATATTTGTAGGTATTTGGTAAAAATTCTGAAGGTCAAAAGGATGAAAGAGTTATATCAACTTTTTCAAATGAGATAAATTTGTTATATAATAAACATTTAAAGTATCCAATTATTATAATAGCTATTACAAATGAGTCTGATATACCATCAGAATTAAACAGAATTTTTATTGAAACAATACATTTAGAACATTTAAATCAGAACAAAAGAACAAATTTAATTTCTTGGTTGCTTATGAAACAAAATCTTGATTATCAAGTGAATTTATCAAAAATTTCTGGAATATGTTCAGATTTTAGATATTCAGACTTATTGACATTAATACTAAATGCTGTGAAATTTCGATGCAAAGATAAATGCAAAAATTTCAGTGCTAAGAATTTAAAACTTTTTAACTTAGTACTTTTACAAGAAGATTTTGATAAAGCTTATGGTAAAATTTAATATTATAAAAATAATTGATTTATATAAAAATATAAAAAAATGATAAAATAATTATTTATATTAGACCAATTTAAATTTTTTCACTTCATTTATAGAATATATGCAATCTATATATACAGATTGTAAAGGTACACCACATATACCAAAAGTTTATTGGGAAGATATAGGTGGATTAATAAACTTGAAACATGAAATAACGCGACGAATTCAGTTACCTTTAATGAACACTTTAGAATTCGGACAATCTGGTCTTCTTTTATATGGACCACCAGGAACTGGAAAAACACTTCTTGCTAAGGCTGTAGCAACAGAGTATCAGCTTCACTTTTTATCAGTTAAAGGCTCCGAAATGCTAAATATGTATGTCGGTCAAAGTGAAAAAAATGTTAGACAAGGTAAAGTAATGAAATATATATTAAATATATATCTTAAAAATAAAAAATACAATATCGTAGTGTTCGAGCGAGCAAGAGCAGCAGTGCCATGTATAATATTTTTTGACGAATTGGATTCATTAGCACCTAATCGCGGACGAAGTGGTGATAGCGGAGGTGTAATGGATCGTGTGGTATCTCAATTGCTCGCAGAAATGGATGGTCTTGATTATTCAAGTAATGTATTTATAATAGGAGCTACAAACAGACCAGATCTCATTGATCCTGCCCTTCTTCGACCTGGTCGATTCGATAAATTATTATATGTAGGGATTCATTGTGATCGTGATTCGCAATTTAATGTATTAAAAGCATTAACTCGTAAATTTAAATTCCGTGAAAATGGAAAAGAATTAGAGAAGTTTATATCTCAATTGCCCAATCATACGACTGGTGCTGATTTATATTCTGTTTGTTCAAATGCATGGTTAAATGCAGCACGTAAAATTTTAAATAGTTATCAAAATAGTTCTAAAGACATTAAATTAAATGAATATGTTGTTGTAGAATTAGAAGATTTTTCAAAAGCAGCGTACGATTTGATACCTTCGGTTAGTAAACAAGAAGCCGAAAAATACAAAAGAATGGAGATAGAATTATCTTCGGTATCGTGATATACTTAATTGTATCTCAAGCATCGTATTGAATATTTTCTAGTTTTAAACGACATATTAATTTATTTGGAGAAAAATGTAAAACAGTTTTTACAATGAATAATTCAATCTAGGATAACTACATTCTATTTTAGATATTGTACCAAATAATTAATCTTGTATGCTATTATATGGCAAAGAATGTAATATAGATATATTTTCAAGATGTTTTACTTATTAACGATACATTATAATATACCAATGAAAAAAAAAAATAGAAAAATACAGGAAAATAATATCTAAATTTATCGAATTATGAAATTTTATATAACAAAGAATAATGACTCACTAAAGGCTTTTTTTTTGCAAATTGCAATAATCGGAATTGAATAATTAATTTACTGCAATTATTAATAAACTAAATAAAACATTTATTTTCATTAAATATGATTAATTTGTAAGTTCAAACAACACTCGAGCACTCTAAATAACAAATCGCACTTAAACGATTATTATTTTATTTATATACAATATAAGATTATTTGCAATTTTGTATTTTATAAGTGCAACATTATGACTCGTGCTTTAAAATGTTTTTAAATATTTTAATTGCACTCTTCATATATATATATATATATATATATATATATATACATACACACATACACAGTCTAAATTCTAGACTCTAAAATAACGTACTATTTTATTTAATTACAGAATAACATTCCTTTGGTATGATCGCGAGGTAGAATTAATTCTAATGCAATTTATTCAATATATTGAAGAATATACCGGTTTTTTTTCCGGTTCGAATTTATTTCATGAAAATAAAATATTTGTATATATATTATAAATTTTTTTTTAAGCAATCATTAAAGTACTTAGAATTAATAAGAAAAATTATAGAATTATAAAAAATTTTTGTTAATCTTATGTTGTTATTTTATAGAAATTTTACAATTACGAGTATTTTTACTTTGTTTCAAATTATTCAAATAAAAATTATTAAAAATTGTTCTAAAATAAATTTATCTAATATCTTTATCTTTTTTCATTTTTTTTAAACATAGTTAAATATCAATTTATAAATTTCATTTTTCAGAATATATATCAATAGATCTATTCGGTATAGTTGATAATTATTAAAAAATAAAATATCACATTTGATAAATTATGCTAATCATTATATGCGATCGACAAAACATTTTGTACAATTAATATCAATCCTACGGAGCATATAAGAAATATGCAAGAATGTTTTGAATCAAATTAAAAGGATTATAATTTGCACGTAGTTAATAATATATTATAGTTAATATATGGGATATATGTATGCGTGAATGCACGTATATCCACGAATTTCTACGATATATATGAGGTATTATTTTAAATATTTCGTAAAAATTTGATCTGAGTATTCCTTTTCTAAAGAAACAAGTAACAAGAAAGAGAAATAGATTTTGTTAAAAAGAAAATTGTTTCAATTAGCTTATTAATAAATTTGGCCACTGTACAATATTATGTAATTGTTTATGAACTTTTTTCTTTAAAAATGCCTTATGTAGTTTGAAAAACAGTTATTCTACACGAAATATGGAAAATTACTTAAGGAAATATGCAATAAATTTTTGCTTATCGATCGTGGAAAATAAAAAAACTTTGTACTCAGCGGCCGCGAACTACTCTTATAAAGTTCAAAATTCTTACTTACTTTGTAATATTTTTCACATCTTTCATCTTCGCAGTATTAAGCAGTCTTCTATTTGTATTAATTATATGTATATACGAGTATATGTAACAAGAAAATACAATGATATTTCAGGATATCTTCTATAAATCATTCAGTTAGGTGACAAAGTTAAAAAAGTATTGACGCATGATGCATGCAAAAACAGTAAAGAATATTGCTGATTAACTGGATAGGAAATTTCTGTTGGCTCTCAATGCGTGTATTACTCGACTTATAATACGTCTAAGCTTTCAAATGAAAAATAATATTTTCCAGTAATTAGCAATAGCAAATTTCATGCTACGCATTTCCACGCATAATATTCATCAAAAGTACAATATATAGAATCGGTTATGATTCTTCGGTATTTAATCCTGAAACATAAAGAAAAAGAAAAGAATTAAAATTACATATATTAATTTTTACAAAGAAAGAAATTTTTATTTTGAAAAAACTTTATCATTCAATATAATTAATATAATAATTTTTTATTTTGCTTTTAGCTTTGATTTTATGCATACCTGGTCAAGACGATTTCGTGGCAAATTCGTGCAGTATGTCACAAGCCATTTCAAGATCGTTCCTAGTAATACCGAGGGCTCTAATTACAGCATCTTGTGCGAATCCTAGAGCTGTTAACTTGGAAATATGTTCGACATTCACGTTCTCATATGCTGCGGATTCAGGTTTAGAAGAACCTGTAGGATCGTCCTTACCTCTTATCAGAGCGGACAATCGAGCTGTATTCGCTTCAAGATTAATGTTCCTCACGACGTGTTGTCTTGTACCAGGTATCACAATTGTATTCTCGTAATGATGATCATGCCTGTTATGTTCTTTATTGACTGTTTTCGGTGGTCGTGGTACTGATAATGGAGGCGGAACTGGTGGCACATTATTGCTAGATGTAATTTGAGAGATCGTTGTCGAAGATCCGCTGGCACGGCTCGGCTTTTCAGGTAATGTTGGTGGTGGTTGTAGTTGTGATGTGATTAAGTGATTTCCTTGTGATCGACGAATATGAGTTCTGGCCATTGTAAGTGGAGGTATCAATGGCACTGGAGAAGGTGAAGAGGCTCGATGTAGCATATCGTATCCTGCTTCAGAATTTACTAATAAAATAAAACAAACATTCTTTTATAGAATGATTTAATTTCTGCAGAAAATACAGAAATATATAATGAAATCATTGATAAATTTTCCTCCTCTTTTTTTATTTTTCATTACTTACTATTATTGTTTTGTTGATTATCGGTATTAGAATTGAATGCTGTATTAATTGTTGATAACGGCGGTGGTGGAGCATTCTCTTTCGGAACAGTCAAATGACGACCATTTCTCGAATGACTATTCGGCGTGGGTGATGGAGAAGGTCGTCGAGGAGGTAGTGGTGGACTTGGTACAATTCTTCGCGTCGAAATTGGTGAATTTGTTGGACTAGAATCTTCTTCTTCGTCTGAGTCGTAACACATTAGTCCACAATGTCCGTTACATAAATCCATGATTTCCTAAAACATTGAGAATAAAGAACAGAATATATATTAATTTTTATGACATTAATCAACAAAAATAGTATATATTTCATTTTAATCTAAATATGATTTTCTGTTACTTGACGCAAAAAAATCGCGTAAGAAGTAAGTATATCCTAATCAATTCTATTTTTAATTCTAAATATAATAAATTAATAAATATTAAATATTATAACCAAATAAATCTATTTAAATGTTAAAAATAGACAAAAAATTTTAAAATTAATGTAAATAAAAGGAATTTAGTAAAAAACCTGAATGCGGAAGAACATCACAATTAAGAACGAGCATAATTACAAAGCATCAAAGCAGAGGATCATAATGCATTTGTTCACTTACCTGCATTAAACGAATCAAAATATGTTTCCTTCGGCTATGTACATTATCGATTAGTTTTCGATCATGCAGCGGGCAGAGCAATGGACCCAGTAGATAACATTATGAAATAAAGATAAACGATCATGCGAACGATATAACGACGTAACACCTTGGTTCATTTTTCAATAGTTCCCTGTTGCTGGAACACTGATTTAATAGGCATAGAAATTAGAATCCAGCAAAAGGGATATATATACACAATATGCAAAAGTAACTTGATGTAATGATAA